CTATTATTCACAGTGACTTTAAGAATGCAAGCTTGGGGCCAGGGATTTAGCTTAGTGGTTCCACTGCCTCCCTCGAAAGCACAAGGACCAGAGTTTGATCCCCGGTACCAAAAAAAAAAAGAATACAAGCTTTATTAGCTTTATCCTCTCCTCTGAATGTTTTTCTTCAAATTAAAAAAATGTAGTGTCACAGTTTTTACCAACTTTGTGACCTTTTTCATTCAAGTGATACATCTTTTTTCAGGCTGAGACTTGGGAGTGCCTCTGCTTTTGTGCACTATCTCCTTTAATCCTCAGACCTCACCAGGCAGATGTTATTCTCCCCGTGCTAACCGAGGAAAAAAACTAAAGAATCAAAGAGATTAGATAACATGCCAGCAGTTTGGAAAATAAGTCATGGAAACAGACTTAATTTTTATATCCTTCTAACTCTTTGGCAATAGATACTTTTCAAATGTAAATTCTTTAACCCATTATTGTTACGAAACCTGTAAGAGCATAGTTTTAGTAGTTTACAATTCTATGTAGGTAGGATATGTTTAAATGTTGATTTCTTATTTTGTATGGATTTGAGTTAAAGTATACATTGTTATTTGTAATGTGTGTAACAATTTATATGGTTATTGAAACCTGAGAGTTTTATTCCTAAAAGCTTGGTAGAGCTACAAAACAACAATTTACTCTTTGGTATGCAATGTTGTAGACCTTTTCTTGAAAAACCATTCAGTTTATTTTCTCCAACTGAAAAATCTAATATGGGGCCGGGGGTTTAGCTCAGTGGTGCTGCTGCCTGCCTCGCAAGCGCAAGGTCCTGAGTTCGATCCCCGGTACAAAAAAACCAAAAAATCTAATATGCCACTCTTAATGCAATCCATAATCTAGGCAGTTGGGGAACTAGAAGATATTTGCGTTAAAGGGTAACCTTGCCTTAAGTGTTCTTCCCCCCTCTTTTTTTTTTGACTATTGGGAATTAAACCCGGGACCTTCATACTGAGCTATATTCCCAGTTTTTTCTTTTTTCTTTTGAAACAGTGGCTAAATCGCCTAAGCTGGGCTTGAATTTGCAATCCTCCTACCTCAGCTTCCTGTCAATTTTTTCTTTTGTTTTTTGGGTACCGGGGATCAAACTTGGGACCTTGCGTTTGCGAGGCAGGCTCTGGAACCACTGAGCTAAATCCCCGGCCCTTCCTGTCAATTTTTAAAAATAATTGCTCAGGCTCATTCACTGTGATGTTCTATATTTTTGTGTTTTGTTTCCTTTCTTCTTCTTCCATGCAGGGCATGGAGCACAGGGCCTCACGCATACTCAGGAAGCACACTAGCACTGTGCCACTGAGATACACCCTGAACCCTTTTATTTCCCAATTCCCCAAATTTCTATGGAGATTCTGAATGTTTTAGATGGTCAGATCTACGAGGGTCTTGAGAGCTCATCTGGCTAGACCCTTCAGTTTCTATAAGGAAACTGTAGCATAATGAATAAAATCTAATCCAAGCTCCTTTGGAAAATAAATGTAATATTAATTTTCTAGCTCTTGCTCTAGTGCCCTTTGATTTATCTTGCGTACTGTATTCCAGCAAGGAACATTAATTATCTCAAGAGGTGAGGTAGTGTTTTGAGTAATCTATCTCTGAAGTTCATGATCTCTAAGCCCTGGCAGGAACAGTAATTCTTTTGTGTTATTAGTCTTGTATGTTTTGCTGACCTCTTGACTGATCCAGAATGACCTATGTGAGGCTCCCTTCACTTTGCATGTTCTGATTGCCTGTCTTAGTCTTCTATTGCTCTTAGAATCCTTAGGCCTCTGTGTGCTTTGAGGTCTCCTACTGGCTGTGTTTTATGTTTAATGGTTTTCTCTCTGTTGAAGTTTCTTTGACTATGTAATTCTATTTACCAATATACTGCATATTTATAAATTGTATATATCAATAACATTGATTATTAAAGTAATTTAGAAAATGGTTGTAGCAGAAAAATGGGCCATTAGGAATCTATACCAACCAAATACTTGAGGTAATCACAATGTACGTTTCTATTTCCATTATTTAGGATCCTTTTTTTGACTGCCTTTTGAAAAGAGTCACCAATTCTGTCCTTTTTCTATACCTCTGAGTATCGTTCCTTTCTGGTAATAGTCCTTGATGGCTTTATTTAAATCCCTTTTACTGAAAAATGAGCATTACAAAATTTCAGCCTCAGCCAGGTGTGGTGGTGCACACCTGTGATTCCAGCACTCTGGAGACTGAGACAAAAGGATTGCAAGTTTGAGCCCAGCCTGGGCAATTTTGCAAGTTAGTGTGACCCTGTCTTGAAATTTTAAAAGGGCTGGGAATGTGGGTCAGTGTGAAGGCCCTAGGTTCATTTCCCAGTACTACACACACATGTGCATGTGGATGCACACACAGATAAATTTCAGCCTTTTTTTACATCATGGAGTAATATTTTGGTAACTATATGAGAACAATTTAATCAAGAAAAAAACAGCGTATGAGAAGGTGGCTTTGTTTTAGTCGGTATGAGATTAAATAAACGTCTTGGGCTTACTACTTTGGGAAATAAAGGAGGAAAACACTGGTTTTATTTCTTTCTAGTTTTCTACAGAAAGTTCCTGTTCCCACATTGTCACCCTTTTGGTTCTGTTACCACGTGATTAGAATATTAGAAAGAAAGAGAATCTCTGTTTTTTTTTATAAATACTACCCCTGCAATATCACAAATGTGCAGAGGACTGTAATACTGATTATGCCTATAGCAGGCTGTGAAGAGTTAACCCCACAATTGGCTTGTTTGGAGAAGGGAGTCTGGCTGAAGCCAACGTGCCCAAGTCAAGTAACTTGCACTCAAATTCCACTCCCACAACGAAAACCTTGTGACTTAGAAGGACAGTGTTCTAATTACAACCATACATTTTGTCTCTTCTGTTCCTGATTCGAGAATGCTTTGTCTTGTCCTTTATGTCCTTGTTTACATTAATTTTTATAGAAACTGCACATAGCTTGCCTTTGCCCCAATTGATTGCCAATAAAAGTCAGTGCCTGGGACTGGCCAGCATCTTTGGCAGTTGCCCCGGCATTGGTCGTCCTGGCACCCCACTTTTTATCTCTTAGTTCGGTCTCTTGGTTTATTTTTTTTCCTAAGGCCTGCATCGTATACTGGGCAGGTGGGGACTGGAACCTAACTGCAGGGTCACTAGAAACAAGCCATCATTGGGTCTTGCCTATCTAGAGACCAACTGACATAAAATTGGCAGAAGAGAACTCTCAAAATATAAGTAATCACTGTAGGCGATTTTTTTAAAGAAGTACAACATTTGGAACTTTAGTGCTAAGGACACTGTGCCATTTATAAGTGAGATGACATTATACCTAAATTAACTCCTGTGCTGCAGAAATGATGAGTACTGAAAAGGAGACTTTACACCAACTATTATAATGAGATCCAGCATAATATGAGGCCACATACAGAGGTTAGAGGAAAGTAATTTGACTTTAGGCTCATGCAACATGGAAAGATACAGATTTTATTAGGATAGAATATAAATAGGCATAGATCAGAGAAATATTGTAGCTTTTAGAATCTGTAATTGATTAGAAAAACACAGAATATTTAGAAGATAAGAATGGACCAGTGTTGCCAGAGCAGTGGGTTTATTTGGAATGCCAAAGAAGTCAAACTCTGGGCCCACTGTAGAGGAAGGGGCAACTGGATCGTGGTACAGACCACACTGTGCTACGAAGAAAAGTCCTACAAACATGTAAATACCAAATAGTTTCTCTGGTGTGAAAAACTAAAAGTGTAAGTAAGGATCAAAATGTATAATTGATATTGAAATAGGAAGAAAAAGTCTAAAGGAGTAGGGGAAGTGGGAGGGAGTAGGGGAAAGGAAAGAAGGGAAAAGGAAAAAACATGATAAAAGGAAAAAATGGAAACAGAGTCTTTGTAAATAGGGAAGGGTGGAGGGGGTGAAGGGAGGGCAGGGGAATGGGGAAAAAAGAACCAAGATACATCATGTAAAAGTACAGGATCCCAATGATGAGTGTAACTGTATTGTATACCTAAAATGTACCAATAAATTTAATTAGAAAAAAAAAGAAAGGAAAAGTCCTAGCTGAGGCCGCCTACCTGAAGGCAGATAGCTTATTTAACGTGAACATGAAAATTAAAACTGGTATTGAGATTTCAGTGAAAGGTGAATTATAATTGATAAGATTGAATTTTTTTTTTTTAATTTTTTATTTTTTGGGGGGGTGGGTACCGGGGATCAAACTTGCGACCTTGCATTTTTGAGGCAGGCGGCGGAACCACTGAGCTAAATCCCTGGCCCGAATTTTTAAAATTTGATGCATTTCAGGAGCTGTAGGTTAAACATTTGTTTATCACTGATTTTTCAGAAGTTTGCATTACTTTTTTTGTTGTTGTTGTACTGGAGCTCAAACTCAGGACCTTGAGCTTGCAAGGCAGGCACAGCACCACTGAGCTAAATCCCCGGCCCCTGCATTGCTTCTTTTTACTAGGAAAAATGTTTTGCTGGCAGTTAACTCTGGCATCTGAATTCCACCACTCTCTTGGGATTCCAAGGATCTTATCAGACCAGAGTTTAAGAGAAAAGTATTACTTCTTTACCTTCTTCATGGGATATCACCTTTACCTTCCTATTCAGTTCTGTTTTCTTTGGGGCAAGCAAGAACTTTAGATTATAGCTAATCTAGTTTTCCTTAGGGAAAATCAAGTTTTGGTCAAGTTTTAACCTACTTACTGTTATTTCATTAATATTCTTAATTACAATTCTATAGTAATGATTCATATGTTTGCTAGTGGCACTAGTAAGATGTCAGCACAGTCTGAATTTAATGAAGATAATAACTTGTGATTTCTAGGGCTTTCTTTCCTAAGATTTGTTTTGTTTGAAAATTTTATGATTAACAAGTATAGTTGTTTTGAAGTATTCCACCATAATAGGAGTTTATTCTAATGCAGGTATTTTCTTTACTTTCCTCAGATTATGCATCTTTAATACAAGAAAAGATACTAAGTACAGCCACACATGCTGTTGGTGATGAAGAGACTGCCAAAGTCAATGCTAATGATCAACCAGAAGCCCCAAAGCTAGCTCTGCAGTCTCTGTTCTCACTCATACGAGGTGAAGTTGAGCAGTTGGATTCAAGAGCACTTCCCCTTTGCCTTCACCAGGTACTACATTAAACCCTCCACTTTCAGCCTCACTGAAACTCTGGTACCAGTATTTGGAATCCTCTAAAATCCAAATCGTCTGAAGTCATCTGAAATTCATAAAGAATCCCGAAACTGTTTCTATCCCATCCATTGTTGGTGAGTTCAGGAGATGACTACCCTGGACCAGTGGCTGTGGAAAATTTGACATAGTACTAAACTGATGGCCATACCTTGGCCTTAGAGAATCAATAAGTTTGGATAATAAATAGCGCATTCCTTTTCTTCGGTGTACAGATAGGAGACTGAGTAGCAAGAGCTTAGTAAGCACTAACTGTGTGCCAAAAACAATGCTAGACACTGGGGAAACAAGATGATGAACAGGGTGTGTCCTTAAGAGAGCCACTGTGGAGTAGGAGAAACCACGATATAAATCCATGAGTGTTGAATTCTGTAGGAAGAGTCAGGAGACATCTGTTTAGGGTTCAGTGGCATGAAATGGAAGGTGAACTTTGTCCTGTAAGCTTGAGGGAAGAGAAGATGGCTCTTGGGTTGTACAGGATGACTAGATGCTCACCATACAGCACAGGGAGCTAGTACCTGAATAGATGTCTGGAACAGACATTGTTGGAGATTAAGAAGCAAAGAGACAAGAGTCAAGATTCCATAGCTCGTGACCTGAAGGCCTTGGGCTGAGGACCTGGGAATTTTAATGATGAGAATTTTTCTGAATAAAAACTTAGTATCACTGAGCTATACCCCCAGCTCCTCAGATCCCAATCTGAATTTTAGAAACAATTTTTCCAGCTGGGTGTGGTAGCACATACCTTTAATGCTAGTATTCTGGGAGACTGAGGCAGGAGGGTTGCGGGTTACTTAGTGATTTAGTGAGACTTTATCTCAAAATTTAAAAAAAAAAATCATAAAAGTGTAGGAGATGTAGCTCAGTGCCCAGGACCTTAAAAAAAAAAGTCTAACTCTTCAGTGATGGGAAGACAAGGGGAAGATGGTGAGCCTGGCGCCTGGAGAGTGGGAGGCCTTCAGCACAGTAAAATAAGAAGCCTTATCCTAAGAGCTAATTCAGGAACAGTTAAAGCTGCATTTGTAAGACGCGTTTTATTTCCACTTAAAATGAAAATAATTTGTACTTGAGAATAAAGATCAACTTTTTTATTTCACCCAGTTCTGTTTCATTTTGATTTTTGCAACAAACAGTGAGTAATTTTTAATTTTTAAAAAGCAAAATAGCATGTGATCCAAAGCAGGAAAATGTATAATTTTACAAACTTACATTACCTCCTTGGTGGGCCCGAGGAATGCCATTGAGAGAACGTACAGTGCTGTTGGTTACTGAACTGCCATAGTTTAGGCGCAGCAGTACCTGGGCAGCCTGCTGAACACTTTTGTCTGCAAACAGAATTGTTTACAAACAGAAGTGTTTGTGAACTGAGGTATTACTATAATCTGCAGGCCTGATCAAGATCATTATCAACTCCCTGCCTAAAAATGTGATTTTTTTTTAAGACTAGCTCTGTTTCTGCCAGTAAAAAGAACATTCTTACCTCTTATTTAACAATAGCTTAGTGATATAAGCTACTTAAAAAGATTTGTCTGTACTTGCTATTTCTCTCCTTTCTTTTAAACGTCCTTTCCCAATTCTTCATTGAATTTCTACAGAAGAGCTTAAGAAATAGGAAAATCCTCCATAAACCCTTCACCTAGATTTGGTAATTACTGCATTTTGCCAAATTTGCTTTCTTTCTTTGTCGCTTACTCTTTTACATATTTTTCTCACAATTAAGCAGTAGGTATTGTATCAATTAATCTTCAAATATTTGTACAAGTCTCACTCAAGAATTGAGATAGCTGGGTGTGGTGGTGCATGCCTATAATCCCAGCACTGGGGAGGTTGAGGCAGGAGGATTGCAGAGAGTTTGAAGCCTTCCTGGGCTACATAGTGAGTTCAAGGCCAGCCTGAACTGCATCGTAAAACCCTGTCTCAACAAACAAACAAACAAAAAGAAAGAAATCGACTGGGGATCAGCAAGGGGTCACTCAGGAGTCACTCGGGACTTCCAGACACTCAGACATTGGGGTGTCAGGACTTAGCTGATGGCTGCCTTCTTCACACAAAAATGCAAAATATCCTGTCATCTCCCAAGGACCGCGTAAATCAGGGAGGGGTGGAGGTATATTTCATTCATTTGACATCCTAGTACATCATGTGCCTTTTACCTGGATTCGCCAGCTGACATTTTATCAAATTTGTGTGTTCTCCTGTTTGCCATCTTGATCACATGCACACATATTTACCCAACACCCACATATACCTTTTGTTTGTTTGTTTTTGGTACAAAGATCAAACTCACGACCTTGGGCTTACAAGGCAAGTGTGGTGTCACTGAGCTAAATCCCCAGCCCCCACACATACCTTTTTTACTAAAATATTTTAAAGTAATTTGCAAGCACTATATCACTTCACCTTTAAATATTTGCACATATTTGTCCCAAGAGAAATGAGTTTCCTGTAACCTGCAAAGCCATTAGCAAACCTAAGAAATTAGACATTGATAAATAATATTATTTAATATTCAGCTCCTATTCAGATTTCTCTAAGGTTGTTTCACATATGCTGTTACAGCTGTGTACCGCCTAGCCCAGGATCCAGTGAAAAGAGGCATTTGATCTTGCATCTGATTGTCAAGATTCTTTAATCTTTGCAATCCAGAACAGTCTACTGTGTTTGGGGTTTTTTTTTTTTTTTCCTCTTTTTAACTTTCATAGTATACTATACTTATGGATAGGGCAAGAATTCTTCTAGAACGTCTCAATTAGGATTTGTCCGACGATTTCTTCTTGATTTTATTTGGTTAAAACACTTTGGACAAGAATTCTACTTTATATTCCATGCCAGCTTCTCCCTTGACTTCACTCTAACCTGGCTTCTGTCCCCACTACTTGACAACAGTTCTGTTATGAAGATTACCAGTAATCTCCATGCTGTCAACCAGTGCTTAGTGTTCAGTTCAGTTTTCATCTTAACTGAAGCCATTAGACACCTTGACAGATTGAGTACAGAATCTATTTTCAAGCATTTTCTTTTGTTCTTGTTGCTGGGGATTGAACCCCGTGCCACATAATTGCTGAGCTACAGGTCCAGCTCCCTTCAATCCAATCCAATCCTTTTCTTTCTCTTTTTTTTTTTGTGGGTTCAATTTTGTGAATTGAACCCAGTGCTTTGCACATGTTGGGTAAGTACTCTACTAGTGGCCTACATCACTAGCCGTTTTTGAGACAGAATCTTGCTAAGTTTACCCAAGCTGGTCTCAAACTTGTGATCTTCCTGCTTCAGCCTCCTGACTTGCTGGAATTACAGCCATGCCTGGCTGAAACATTTTCTTGATTTGCTTTTTAGGACCACTCATTCTTGGCTTTTACCTCTTCACTATCCAGGCCTTCTCAGGCTTATCTGCTGAGTTATCATATTTCATTCATTTTTCACATTAAAGTACTTCAGGGTTCAGTTCTTGAATTTTTTCTCATTCTACTCTAACTTTGTAGGTGATTTCATCCCATCTGGTATGTTTCACCCAATTTTTCCCCCCTGGACTCCAGTTTAACTATCCTCAGCATTTCAAATATAAGATGTACAAAATGGAACTTTGATTTTTCTCCCAAATATGTTGCTTTTCTAGTCTTCCCTCCTTTTGTTAATTGCCAACCCCATTCCTACAGTTGTTGAGGCCAGAAACTTTGAAGTCATCCTTTACTTATTTTTTTCCACATCTAAATCCAATCCATTAGTAAATCCTACAGATATACTTTGAAGTATACTCGTAATCTGACTCCTTTTTATCTTTCATTGCCACCATCTCAGTACAAGACAGCATCCAATATCAACTGGATTCTTGTAATAAATCCTTGCTGTTGAAACCTCTCTACCTTCACTCTTATGTCCATTTAGTGTTCCCCTCTCTAACTGATAGTCACTGTAATCGAGATAAAGCATAAAGGAGATCATGTGACTTCATCATGTAGCACTCTGCAAAGGTTCACGTTCTCATTCATAGTAAAAGCCAAAATCCTTACCTTGGCCTGCAAGACCATGTGTGATCTGGCTGTGGTACCTCTTAGACTTTAATGTCTAAAACCTTTCTCCCCATGCACTTATCTCCAAGGATACTGACTGGTCTAACAGTCTTCAGATATACCAAGAATATTCCTATTTTGGAATCTTTTGTATTTCTTCTCTACGCTTTCTAGGAAACTACTAGAGGATTACAGGATGTACTCCAGCAAAATAAGGGAGTAAAACCAAGCGACAGGAAAGTGAAGCTTCTACTCAGGAGTGAGGTGAAGGGAATCTCGAGGTGAAGAGAGATGTTAGGACAATAATTGTATCTCAAGAAGAGGGTAACCAGTCCTGTTTGGAGAATATCAGAAGAATCTTGGGAGAGACTTTTCCAACATTTTCTTGCTTCTGTATGCTGTCTGAGTACTGTATACTGAGAGAAGATTAGACTCTTGGTGGAGTGTTTGCAGTTGTATGAGTGAGAAGTACATGAAGAACAATCCAAAAAAAGAAAAAAGAAAGGGAAAAGACAGTGAAGTTGCAGTTAGGTAGGAGTTGAAAGCTTTTTGTCTGTGGGAGTGGGTGGCACATGTGTATAATCCCAGTACCCAGGAGGCCCAGGCAGGAAGATTGCCATGAGTTTCAGGCCAGCCTGGACTATATAGTGAGTTCAAGGCCAGCCTGAGCTGTATAGTAAGACCCTGCCTCAAAAAAAAAAGAAAAAGGGAAGTTGTTTCTTTGTTTTTGTGGTACTGAGGATCAAACACAGGGCTTTACACAGTGCCACATCCCCAGCCATTTTTATTTTTTATTTTGAGACAGAATTTTGCTAAGTTGCCCGGGCTAATCTCAAACTGTAATCCTCCTGCTTCAGCCTCCCAAGGAGCTAGGATTACAGCATGTGCCATGGTACCCTGCTAGAGGAAGAAGTTCTGATGTGCTATTGTAC